GAAATTTACTCTCAGTTCTGGAGGCTGGAAGTCAGAAATCCAGGTGTCAGCAGGGCCATGCTCCCTCTGAAGGCTCTAGGAGAGGACCCCTCCTTGCTTTTTTCAGCTTCTGGGTGGCTCCTGGAGTTCCTCGGCTGTGGCTACATCCCTCCAGCCTCTGCCTCTGTCTTCACATGGCCATCTTCCCTGTCTCTCTCTATCCTCTATGCCTCTTATCGGCACTCTGGTCATGAGATTTAGGGGCCACCCTAAGTCCAAGATGATCTCTTCTTGAGCATCTTAACTAGTATAGCTGCAAAGACCCTATTTAAAGTCAAGTCACATTCTGAGGTTCCTGGAGGACATGAATTTGAGGGGGGCCACATTCAAACTACTATATATATAAAAGCTCTACCACCTCGAATCTACTGACCTCTCAGCTCCCCAATTCTAGGATCCAGGAATTGGTGTCAGCTTCTCCCTCTCCCACAGAGAAGCCTGCCTTTTGTCTGACACCTCGGCTGTCATTTATTCATTTCTGCCACCTGTCGTTTCTTTACCACTCCATCCTTTATTTCATTACCCATTCTTTCCTCTTTGCCCAACACAAGGCATCAGCCCAAGGCCTTTGGAGTCAGGCCTGGGTTCCAGTCCCAGTGCCGTTGAGCACGTTGGACAATCTAGTATCTTACAGTCTTAGTTTCCTCATCTGTGAAATGGAGTCAGAACCTACCAGACAGTACTATTGCTGGATCAAACAGGACAGTGCTTGTGAGAGCCTTGGCACAATGCCTGGCATGTAATAAACACTAAATATATACCTATATATCTACCATTTCTTCAAAAACCTTATAAAGAGTTCCATTTTATTGTGAAAATTGAAACATACCACAGTTAAGAGAATTATATAGTGAATGCTGATGTTCCCACCACCAGCCTTTACTGTTACCATTTTGCTCCATTTGCTCTGTCGTCTGTCCAGCTGTCCATCCACTCATCCATCTTCTGATGCACTTCACAGTAAGTGATGGATATTAGTGTGTGCATGTTGTTAACTAGAGGTCTATTAAAAATACACAGAACTGTCATTACATCAGACTCGAGGCAAGGGAGCAGCACTCAGGTGGGGGAGCTGGCTGAAACAGGAAGAGAAGGTTCCCTTTCTCTGCTGCTTCTGAGTCTGGAAGTGTCTAGGGCCACATCTGGGCAACTCCAGGCCCTAAGTCCTTCATGGCCACTAGTGTGGCACACCAGGTGGGGCAGGGGCGTGATGGGTGGCGACCTAGCCTGTCTCCCCTTGCTCTCCCCGCAGCTGGAGCCAGACGGACTGCTGGTGTGGGTCTTGGCCGGCGCCCTGGGGCTCAGCCTCGTCTTCTCCCTCATCGTGGTCCCACTGCAGTGTTTCCAGCTGAGCAAAGTCTATGGCTTCTGCCTTCTCCTCTTCTACTTGAACTTCCTCGTCGTGGCCCTGCTCACTGAATTTGGAGTGATTCACTTGAAAAGTGTGTGACTGAAGGCTTATGTCCAAGCCTGCCTGGTGGTGTGGAGGGGGTACCACAGCAGGCACCCCACAGCCTCCTGTGAGGGGAGGACTGGGGACAGGAGCACCTTCTGCAGAGCCATGTGGGCATGAGTGGGTGCGGACTCCCATGGTGGCTCTCGCTGCTAGAGGTCTGAAGTCGCTCCTGTATGCAGGGAGAACAGCTAAGTCTCTCTTCCTGACTGCACCCAACAGCCTCATTGGTGGGACTCTGGAGACTGGGCTTTGCTGTGCAGTGAGTTCCAGACAGAAGCTAGACCTCCTGGAGTTAGCTCCAGAGTCTCTCTGTGGACGGCTGGGGTTTGGGGCAGAAGGAGATTTTATGCTGGAAGACCCCGGAAGCATTCAGGGCGGGAGGCAGCTGTAGAGGTGCAGCCCCTGCCTGCCCCCTACTGGGCTTCAGGCCTTCCCACACCTTCTTGGGGCTCGGAATCAAGGCAACTTGGACCCAAGGGGGAGCTCTAGAGCTGCACCATCTGATGGAAATAGAATGTGAGCCATGCTTAATTTTGGATTTTTTAGTTGCCACGTTAATAAAGCCAATAGAAGCAGGTTAAAGTAACAATAGTACATTTTATTGAACCCAGTGGGTCAAAAATGCCTTTGGCCCGTGGCACTGCCACATCAGTCTCCACCATGTCAGACAGCATGACTCCAGACGCTTGCTCTAGAACTCTGCGGCTGGCTGTCGCACAGTTTCTGCTCAAACCCTCAGTCTCCCGAGCTGCAAACAGGAGTCAGTCTGTGCCTGTGCCTACCTCAGGGAAGCCCTGGGCTGGGGCTCCAGTGCCTGCGAGTTCTAGGGGGACAGTGAGTGGTCCCCAGTGCCTTCTTGTTGTCAGGCGGTGACCCCAGCTTTTAAATGAGCAACTCTTCACTTTGTGTTATTGCCTTATGCTGGTAGTAAAGAAAGGACATTCAAGTATCTTTTTTCCAAATAAAAAATGGTAAAATATTTCAAGTATACCGAAAATAACATGCATCCAACTCTTACCAGTTCTTCCTTACCTGTGGCCAGGTGATGTGTGCTGATCCCCGGGTTTCATGGACAAAGGGGTAGGGCTGAGGTGGGGTCAGGAAGGGCCATGGGTGGGACCACTCCCCTCTTCCCACAACCCTGGAAGTCATAAGGCAGCAGCCACATTTACAAAGCAGAGGCTCTTTTATTAATATGCCAGAAATCAGGAGACACAGTGGGTTTTCTAGGTAACAAATCACCAGTGTACAAAACCTTACAGCGTTGCTCCTGTGATCCATACAAAATGATTGTCCTCGTGGTGTGGAGTAAGGCTGGGGCTGGGGGAAGGGAAGCAAGGAGGGGCCTGAGGGGTCCCCCCCCCCGGGCTCTTTTGCCGCCGCTGCCAGGGCACCAGTGTCACTTGGTTGCACTCAGCTGTGACATGAGGGGGAGTGAGAGGGCATCTGAGCTAGATGATGGCCCGGGGCCCTCAACTCACAGCTGGGGGTGACACCTATTCCCTGCTGGTGGGCAAGTTTGAGGATCAACTTGGCAGAGGCCACAGGTGACCCCATAGGGACAGTCATCCTTAGCCTTAGTGACAAGGGCTGGAGTCTGGCCCGTCACATCTATTGCCACTCTGCATTCATTGGTCCTGGCCAAAAGCAGGGCCTTTCTCAGGACAGGGCTGGGAGGATGGACTAGTTAACTCATCCCACCTGTCCTGGAACTAGCCCTCATACCTGGGCCCAGATGCTCAGGTTGGATCCATGCCCTCCTTCAGAAGCTGCCTCTTGATCCCTGCTTCCAAAATGCCCGTTTCAGTACACAAAAGCTAAAAGGCACCCAGTTGTGCAAATAAAGTTCCTTCTCTGGAGAGGGGAAGGGCTTCTGGCCTGCAGGTCCTTGTGATGGCCACAAGCCCTCCAGAGATGAAGAGGACAATGTCGGTCTCCCGACTCCCATGGGAATAACAGTGGTTCTCAATGATTCTTTGTTTCCCCAAAGGGCTGTGCTTTAAATGAAAACATATGCCACTTCTCCCCGGGGAAGGTGAGAACTGTGCCGTGTTGGCTGTGGGAACCAGCCTGGCCTTGGAGGTGGCTGGGGAGAGCAGGGTGGCGGAACCAGGTACTACTCTCCTGGGGTCAGGCTCTGCCCCACCTGCTCTGTGGCTGGGAAAAGGATGACGCCAGGGGGAACCTCCATCCACCCACCTGCCAAAGTCACGAGAAGCAGTGGAGGCAGCTGGGAAGCCGGGGTTAGCCCAGGATGCCCACTGGTGGCTGCCTCCCCCACCCTCTCCACATCCTCCATCCTGCTTGCCTCTGTGGTCCAGGAGAGCCTCACTGGAGCAACTTCTGCTCTTACCTGCTTCTGCCACCACCGCCACCACTGTCCACTGTGCTGGCACCCCCATGGCCTGCTCTGGCTTCAAGCACCTGTCCCACCTGGACCACGCCTGGATACATAGAACTCCCATGAGGTACCAGGGGAATTTGGTTAATCGAGTGTTCATTAGAACCTACTTCTGCACCAACCAATCTTCTAGTGGAAACCCCAGGGTGAGCTGAGTCCTCACTCCTGCTCCAGCTTCCAGGGAGGTCGACTGCCCCAGGGGAGGTGGGAGCTGGGCCAAGCTCAGCTGCTGCGATGCCCCACAGTGAGCCGTCCCTGTGTGGTTTGCTCCAATTGCGACAGTGGCATCTAACACACGTGTGACAGCTCTGCTATCATCCTTAGCACAATCCTTAATGAATGAAAAAGTCACCTTGTTCGAACAGGTAAATCACAAGGAAAAGGGATTTAGTTTAGAAAACCCATCCCAGGAATTGGCCCGGCATCGTGCCTGCTGTCCTCTTCCTGCTAGGCCTAGGTTCCACAGGAGGCAACTGTACAAGGATTTTCAGCAACAAAGGTTAAACAAGAGCATGGGAGAGAAGGCTTGCCAAGCCAGGAGATGAGATTGGCCAGCGTGACCTCTGGCTGCCCAACACTGGCTAAGGGAACTCTGACCACATGAGTCTAATCACACCCCTGGATCCCTCTTTTCATGAGGTCCTGGGCATCGGTCTCCCAAAGGAACATTCTAGTACATTATCATAGAGACAAATACCACCCCCAGGGATTTGGGTGCTTTCCTTCCTAAGTGGTTTTGTCCCTAAAGCAAGACACAGAAACACGTGATGTGGCTGCAGGGATCATTAGTGGAGACACTGCCAGGTGGGATGGAAGCCTGAAGCTACAGCAGGAAGACAGGCTTGGATTGGGCCTAGCAAGGGCCAGCTTCCTTTGCAGGCAAGCCCTGTAGAGATTGGCAGAATCTATCCAAGTGGTCTTTTTGTGAAGGGGACTTCTGGAGCTTTCCATGTTAGGAAGAGTTCATACACAGTGGCCTAACTGCCCCCAAACCAAACTGACTCATGGAGTTAAGGGAAACAGGGCAAGGTGGTTATAAACCAAACCCCATCTTGTCTTTTTGTTTCTTCCTCTCTATAAATATGTGCATATATATGAATATGTGTGTGTATATATATATATATGTATATATGTATATATATATATATACATATATATACACGTTATTCTGATATATCATAGTAAAATAATACTATTGTGTTATTGCATAGAAGAGATGGCTGCTGCGGGCTGGGGCTAGGTGACAGTCTGGGAGCGCTGGCGACTCCCTGGGGGCTGCTGCACTGCAGGGACCGCGCTGCGGCTAAGCTGCTGCCGCTGATATATACACGTTATTCTGATATATCATAGTAAAATAATACTATTGTGTTATTGCATAGAAGAGATGGCTGCTGCGGGCTGGGGCTAGGTGACAGTCTGGGAGCGCTGGCGACTCCCTGGGGGCTGCTGCACTGCAGGGACCGCGCTGCGGCTAAGCTGCTGCTGCTGTTCCTCTTGCTCCCGGGTGTGCTCCTCGTACCACTCCTACAGCAAGAGCAGGCAGGGGCTGAGGGGCCGCACCCTGCCAGCCAATCCCCCCTACCCCCCCGCCACACCTCCCCCAGCCTGACCAGGTGAGCCACAGGGTGCGGGTCCCACAGCCACCACCAGCTGGCAAGAGCATGTCTCTGCCTGCTGGGCAGGGGCCATTCAGGAGGGAGCAGGCAGAGCTGCCAAACCCGCCCAACTGGGACTGATACTCCCTCACCTGCCTGGCCATGCTGGGAATTCTGAATATGGCCCCGAATAGATTTTTTTTTTGTAGCTGGCCTGTAGGGGATCCAAGCCCTTGCCTTGGTGTTATTACACTGTGCCATGAGCCAGCCCTTTTGCTTCAATTTTTCTTTCTCTCCCAAACAGAGAAATTACAATGAAATCTTTCCCTTATTAGAGGTTGACACACCTCCTGGTAAATTGTGCTTGGCATGTACCATTTGTAAACAAGGCCCAGGTAGTCATAATCCTCACCCTTTATGTGTAAATGTAATATTTTGTCACTCACAAAGGGATTCCCCCATGTTATCCCTTTTGAGCTTGGCAGGAATTGTGTCCCCATTTTACACAAGGGAAACCGAGGTGCAGAAGCTGTATCAAGCTGAGTGCCTCTCCTAACTCCCACATTGCTTTTGCCACCCTCCAGTAGGGCTGGGAAGGCATTCTGGAAAAAATTAACTTGCCCACCTAAGACTATTACTGTTATAACATTTGATGCTTTCAAATGATTAAGGAATTAAAAAGTATACCCTACATTTTTAAGGAATCTGAGCCACAGAACTTTAGAGCTTAAAGAACTGTAAGTACTTTAGAGACGGTCTAGTTCTATGGCCCCTCATTTTATAGAGGTGGAAACTGAGGTCTAGAGCTCAGGGACAGGCAGAAGGTGGAGGACAAGGGTAAGCACACCTCTCTATGTGCACCCGAGTGTGTGCTCTCCTGAAGTCATCCCAGATGCTCTGCAAGGAAGACTGTCCCCCTTTCACAGATGTGGATGCACCAAGCCAGGAATGGAACCCAGGGCTGGGGCTCATATTATTTTCACATCTCTGTGACACCAAGTTCAGTAAGCCACTATATTTATCTGCCCAAAGAACACTGACTATAATCTCTTGCATGTCTAAAGAGAATGTATGTCACTTCAGGAACTGCAGTCCCCGAGCCTTTCGGGTGTGGACAATGGTTTCTATTGTTCTTGTGGAACAGAAGGGCTTCCAGCTGTTAGAATGCCAGAAAACAGAGTGTGGCCACTGTGGCTGGTGTAGGAGACCCTCCCCGGAGCCCTGGGGACCCTGAGGTAGAAGGAAAGACCCAAAGCAGGGCACATAAACTGGTGGCCTCTGGTCTGTGGGTTCTGGCTGGGAGGCACATGGTACCAGTCCACATACTGCTTTACAAGATATTTTACTTATTTGTCAATATAGAAAGTATAAAAAAAATTTGACTTCTGTCTTCTCTGAAATTAAAACAAAAAATCCCCAATCAATCAAAAAACCCAATGACCTGGGTACAGAAGGGCCTCATGCCTATCAGGCAACCTTCATCTGGAACTGGGAAGGGGCTGCCCTCTCTGGACAAATGGGTCCTTACCAGTTTGCCATGGTGCCCACCCCTCCCAGTTTGCTCATTATGTTTCCTGCTGTTTGAGTTTGCAGCTACGGCACAGAGCAAAAGATAGAGAGGAGGTTCTGGAGAATTCCCAAGGGGCATACTATGGTAGGCCAGACAGGAGAGCTATCTACCTGAGTTCCAGACACCAACGGTAGTGGTCCCAACAGATGATCCCGTTTCCCAGGTGAGCCTTGACCTCTACTCAGATCGGGACTGTAGAAGCAGCCCCCTGCTCAGCAGGGGCAAGACTTCCCAGGACAGGAGCTGGGGTGAGGAGCCAGACAGTGTGGTTGGCAGTGCCCCTACCTGTATCTCCTCCTGGTACATCTTTAGGCTCAGGTCGCTTTTGGTCCTTGATCTCCGTCCCAGGAACACCACGGAACTTTGCTAGAGAACAGCATAGGCTCCAGGGCTCAGCTGCAGACAGGTGCCTGTCCCACCCATGTGAGGGACCTGGTGCTATGTCATAGCTGGCCCCTTCCACTCCACTGGCTTTTGCAATGGTGCCACCCAGAAGTGTCACCAGCACTTGACGGGAGGCAATCACGCTAGGCTAAAACCCACCTCCTCTGATGGATAAGGCCTGTGGCTCCTCACCTGGTACCTCTCCATCTGAGAGAGGGTCTCCAGCAGCCGGGTGACATCTGAGGAAGATCCGCGTGCCTCCCGGTAGAGCTCCAGGACAGAGACCAGCTCTTCTTTGGAGATTTCCTTCTCAAGGGTGATGCCACCGTCAACTGCAAGAAGGGAGGGTGAGGGTGGGAAGGAGTCAGGCCTCAGAGTCGCCAATTGGGCTTGGTCTTGTTAAGCCATCCTCCCTGGCACCCCTATGCATGGTCTTAAGGTTCCTTATCCAAGAAAATTCTGGATCAGCACGACCACCTAGAGCTCCCCTCCCTTCCCCTGCCTTTGCTGTGGGTGTCAGGGGAGCAGGTCTAGCCATCAGCTTACAGGGAACAGAGGGCTTCAGGAGCAAGTCTCCAAGCAAAAGGAAAATGGTCAGACAGCCTGCTGCAACAGAGATTCAGGAACAAGTAGTAAGAGTTGCAGGCAGTTTTGATGAAGAATTTGGAGAGAATGAAGGATCAGCATGCAGAAGACTGCAACATAGGAAAAAGGAGGCAATTAAAGCCAGGCCAATCAAGGTGCAGAAGGAATCGCCTTGCAGTAAAAAATATACCATTTAAATCAAGAACCACAGTATGAACATATTATTTGGAAAAGTGGAGATAACTAAAGGAAGAAAGAACTAAGAGTTAAAAGTCTCTGGGAGGAGTCACAGGAAAGGTAGGACAAAGGGCTGCTGTTTCCACCATAAGCCTTTGTCTACTTGATTTTTCTTAAAATATGACATGTACTATTTTTACTTAAAAATAAGATCATGAGGGTCGGCCCATGGCTCACTTGGGAGAGTGTGGTGCTGATAACACCAAGGCCACGGGTTCATTTAAAAATAAGATCATGAGGGTCGGCCCGTGGCTCACTTGGGAGAGTGTGGTGCTGATAACACCAAGGCCACCGGTTCGGATCCCTTATAGGGATGGCCAGTTAGCTCACTTGGGAGAGCGTGGTGCTGACAACACCAAGTCAAGGGTTAAGATCCCCTTACCGGTCATCTTTTAAAAAAATAAATAAAATTAGATCATGTGCATTTTTCTGTCATTAAAAATATTTGAAAATTAACAGAAATAAGAGATCTAGAAAGACAAGCCAGATAAATGAACTGAATTGCCAGAGGCTGGACAACTGGACAGCTGAACTGTCAGACCGCCAGCCAGACAGCCAGACAACTGGACAGCCAGCCATTCAGCAAGCAAGCCGAACAGCCAGGCAGACAGACAGCCAGACAGCCAGATAGCTGGATGTGCAGCAGGCAGCACATGACCAAGACACGACTCCCTACACGGACCTTCTGAGTCCTGGTTCTTGCGGCTATAGTTCATCCGGAAGACGAAGGCCTCGAGGATGAAGGCCACGATGATAGTCATCACCACCTGGCCAAGGGCAGAGGGGCAGGGAGTGAGGGGTGTGTGGGGGCTTGCTGCTGCAGGGCCCACACCCAACAGAGTCCAGTTAGACATGACCCCAGCCCCTTCCTCCCTGGCACTGCAGCCAAAGGGCAGCGGCAGCTGGAGACTTGGAAGTTGAAGAGTGAAGGGTTTTCTGTGGCTGGGGACCTACCATGGTCACGATGTAAAAGGTCATGAAGTAGAGGCGGCTCCAATGGGAGGTCTGAGAGGTGACACCTTCCTGGACACAGAAGGAGGCAGCCAGTGAGCAAACACCCAGGCAGGCCCAGGTCACTATCTACTTAGGCTGCTCCATGTCCCCATGCCCAGAGCCTGGCCCACGGGCTCTTCACAGACCCTTCCTGATGTGCCTTTGGTTGTGGGAGACAGGGAAGAGGCAGCTCACTCCCCTGGTCTAAACATTCCTTCCTGCTGTGTGAGCCCTGGACACTTTGCAGACAGATGGCTGGACTCAGGACTAGCACAGGCAGTCTTTATCCTAAGTAGTGATGGGACTTGGCAGAGCTTAGGGAATGGGCAAAGAATCAGCAATCCTTGCCACACTGCTTCTTGACTGAAATGTCACCTCCATGATGGTGGGAGACAGTACAGAGACTCAGAGGCTAACTGACCTTTCCTGGCTGCTGGGTGTGTGGGGGGGAACAGAGGTGAAAGCCAAGCCCAACATATGCTGAGACAAGTGGCTCCAGCCCATCGGTGTGGGGGGGGGGAACAGAGGTGAAAGCCAAGCCCAACATATGCTGAGACAAGTGGCTCCAGCCCATCCTGGGGCCCCCGCAGAACACCTACCCAGCAAGACTAGGACCCTGAACTCTGCAGGGTGCGGGAAAAGCAAGGCAGCCCACACTGTGTGAGGGAGACCCACCTCCAGGAGCAGACTTCAAGCCTTACCATGATGATGTACCAGTTGTTGACAACTGTGAGCTCGAACAAAGTCACTGCCAAAGGAAGGGGGAAAAAGAAGTGTCTTGATCAGACCCACTTCTTCAAAGTCACTTTCAAGTGGCCTCTCTCCACCTATCCTGGATACCATGCACTAAAATGGTGGCATCCCCACATGCCAGCTTGGGCTGCGGTCTCCAAGAAGGATAAGCCAAGGCCCTCCCTGGGCACGTGTCCACAGAGAGTTTTACCATCTTGGCCTGTCCCCAAAAGGTGCACCCTTTGTCTCAGCAGCCCGTGATGGATCAGGGCTGGGGTGGGGGATTGGGGAAAAGAACATCCATACTTGCTCGGTGCAGATCTGGGATGTCTTGGGGGCTCCCCCTTCCTCTTGAGGCACCGTGTCTGGCAGGGCCACTTCCCTCTGCCCCACTCCCCCCCGGGCCTCTTCATTGAACTGGGAGGCAGAGCAGAGCTGTGGGGGGCAGCAGCACAGCACAGGGCAGCACTGGTGTGGCTGGGTTGACCCTGTGACTGGCATTGGAATGGGGGGGTACCCTAGTACTGGGCTGTACCCCTTCCAGCTAAGGCCTGGACTCCACCCCTAAGGCTGGGCAGACCACATCTTCCACCTGGGCCAGAGAGCACTCTAGAAAGTGTGGCCAATAGCTCGGGAAGCTCAGACAGCTTTGCTATGCTTTGTTGTCAAAAGGGGCATGTGCAGGGAATGTCCCATCTGTGGTTTCTCCACTCACCGAAGCTGTTGAGGATGTTGTCAAAATTGTTGAGATAGTAGTAGCCTTCCTCCATGACAGTCTTGTTGCCCACGGTGTGATTGAGCCAGCGGTAGGCATCTGCCACTGTACTTGCACTGGCCGGGAAGACAAAGAGGCAGAGGGAGGTCACAAGACAAGTGCTCACCTTGATAGAGGACAAAGTTTGAGCAAACTGGGTCTGACCAAAAATCTTTCTATGCTGCCCAGTCTGGTTCCTGCCCAGCCCTCTCTAGCTCTTGTTCCTGCTGGAGGGGAGCTCTCAGCGCTTCCCCTGCCGGCTCTGCTGGGAACCACCGGGCTAGCCTCCCTGTGGTCTTCTCGCAGCCACCTGCTGGGGAAGGAAGAAAGAGATGCGAGCCTCCCCTGCAGCTCCCCAGTCTAGGGTTTGCTCCTAAGGCAGGTGTTATAGGCAACCATCCTCAGGAGGGAGAATTCCTCACGGGCTTCTCCAGCACTTGGCCTAAATGCATCCATGGTTGCATAGGTTTTGTTTGCCCTGTTTTGAGGAGATCTTATTTGCCACCATCCTCCCAATCCCTCATGACTGTTCTAATAAAATACATGCTGATGTTGCTAAAAGTCTAGTGCTTGGGCCATCAGGGCACTTGTTCAGAAGGTGGAGACACACTGCATCAGATATATGGAGGCCTGAAACCTTCATTTTGAGAAGCCCCCTGGTGACTCTGATACACTCTAAAGTTCATGACCTACTGCCCCAGACGGCTGGATCTGAGATCAGCTCGACACTCAAACTGGCTACACGTGTCTTTGTAACAAACTTTTTCTTTATCAGTGCTTGAGACCATAGAATCCAAGCGTAAAGAGAACACTGTGAGTGGAGAATGGGTGGCAGAGTACACTGATTTCACTGTGGTGGCTCACTGATTTCACTGTGGAGGAAGGCAAGAGAAGGGAAGGAGGAGGTCGTGGGAGTTTTCGTGCTGGCTCTCCAGCCCTGATCCCAACAATCTTCCCATTGTGGGTCCGTCTGCCTCATCCTAACAGGCTCTCCTCTTCCTAGGAGACCTGTCTGGCCCAGGGTGAGCTGATGGAGACCCAACTGGAGAGTGCGTAGACCTGCTTGGGGGATGGGGACGGAAACTTGCCAGATGGGCATGGCCGGGCTCCCCTACTCACTTGCAGCAGTTGGGGTAGAGGATTCCACAGAAGAATTCCATGCCCACAATAGCGAAGGAGTAGTAGAAGATGAGCAGGGTGAGGCCCAGGCTGGAGAGGAGGGTCAAAGAGCCAGATGATTTAGGGGTGGGAAGGCGGAGGGCAACCCCAGCACCCCAGGCCCACTGAGCTGACTGAAGGAGAGGCATGCCCCTAGCCAGGTTCACCAGCTGGAAAGTGCCTGCAGGGAAGGGGCCTCATGTTCAGGTCTGGGGTAAAAAATGGCTCAGTTCAGGACTTTATTAGCAGATGCCCCTTTACCAGAGATTCACCCCTTACCTGTGAAGGTAGACTCACAGGTGACCCCTTACCTGTGAATGTAGACACAGGTGGTAAGTGAGTTGACAGCTCCCTGCCCTCCCTACTAAATATCTCAGATAGGTCAGTGGAGAAAACTAGTGCCCGGGAGACCTGTGGGGTGGAGTTCAGGCTCCTTGGAGACCCATCAGACCCTCGATTCCAGTCCTTCCTGGGACGCCTCCTTCTCCTTACTGTCACCCAGCTGCCCACCCCCACGGTGTACAAGCCTCACAGTGCCTGCACCTGCGAGCTGAGAGACAGGGCAGTACCTGGCCATCCGTGGCAGCAGCTCGAACATGGTGTCCAGCACATTGCGGTAACGCTTTTTCAATTTAAACAACCTGAGCAACAGGAGGACAGCAGGTCACTTACAGATGCAAGGGGCATGGCCTCAGCCTCCTTCCTTCAGAATGTGCCAGAGCCCTGCCTTCCAAACCACGTGGTGAAGACACACTGAGGGGCCCCTTGTCCACCTGAGCATCTACATCCCTCAGGGCCATCAGCCCAGCAGGTGTTTAGGGACAGTGGCAGCCCCAGGACATCGGGGCTGGACAGGGCCTCTCCCTGGGAGAAGCAGAGCCACCTGTGTCTCCTCACAGGATCTTACGTGGTGAGGAGGTAGCAGTGACCATCCACTAGTTTGCAAATGAAGCAGGAGGCTCTGGGAGGGGCAAGGCCTTGCTCCAGATGGTGTGGCAAACCCAGGCAGGAGGGAACAGAGCCCACGCCCACAGAGGAGCTGGGTGTGCATGGCTCATCAGTACAGAGCGGGTAGTGGGGAGAGAAGCGGACATGTGGGCCCAGCCCCAGGGCACCACTGCCAGGGCAGGGAGACGCTGCTCCGGGGCCACCTTCCCCACACCTCCTCCTCTCCTCCTGGGAAGGATGGGAGTGGACGTAGATGGGACAGCAGCTGAGTCAGGAGGAAAACCCGGGCTTCTGAGACTTGAGGCCCCTGATTAGGCACAGACATTCAGTGGAGCAAGGCTCTCCTGACCTCCTACCGTAGTCCCTGGGGAAAGGGTAGAATTTGCATGAGGGGATTTCTTGAGACAGAAAAGCCCCAGGGCTCCTCAAAGTCCCTTCAGACCCTCAGACCTGTGGCTGTGACTCGTGACTCTGAGCAAGTGGGCTCCTGGGGCCGCAGCGGATCCACCCCAGGCAGGTTTTTCTGCCAGTCAGAGGCGCCTGGCCCCTTCAGACCCTCAGACCTGTGGCTGTGACTCGTGACTCTGAGCAAGTAGGCTCCTGGGGCCGCAGCGGATCCACCCCAGGCAGGTTTTTCTGCCAGTCAGAGGCGCCTGGCGCCAGTGAGGTAAGGAGGCACGGTCAGCTTGCATGCCCTCACAGGTGATGATTGTGACCCCATGGTGTTTCTGCAGGGGCATGACATCTGGGACATGAGCTTGAGTCTCCTGGCTCATTCAGGTCACTGCTCAGACTAGTCCAGGGCTTTCCCGCCCTCGCCGACCCCAGCACTGCCCCATCACCTCAGCAGCTGCAGGGGACGCAGGACCACTATGAAATAGAAAGGCTCCATGTTGAGGGCCAGGGCCAGCAGTCCCAGGAAGGCAAACACAGTGACAGAGAAGTCGAACCTGGGGGAGGGGAGAAGCCATGATCCATTCAGTGACCCCCGAGCCTCCCCCATAACTGCTCACCTTTCCCAGCCCTGCTCTCTGCCACCCTTCCAAGGAGCTCAGAGACACCAGCCACGGCAAAAGCAACAGCCGGCCCCAGGGAGCAACTCCCTGCCACCTCAGGGCTTCTGAGTTTGACTTGGCCAGGCCTCAGCCACAGCAGTCTTGGGGGTCAGGCCTCGATGCCCTGACCCCTGGGGCTGAAACGCCCAGGAATCCCCTCCTGAGGACCCACTGCTGGTCTAATGACAGGGCGGACAGAGCACCGGCCTCCGCAGTACCAAAGAGACATCTGCTTACACTGGGGAATCTGCCCGTCCCCAAGGAACTCACTGAGGGAGGGGGGCAGGACCTTCTGGTGAGAGTCTCACCAGAGAACAGCCCGCCCTACCTTAAGACAGAGGGTCCTTTCTCCCCCACAGACACACAAGGTGTATGTCCTTACTGTTCTTCCCCACTCTTCTCTGTTTATTCACTTGTTTTACTCTCACGACCCGAGACCTCGTGAGTATAGCCTGATTTCACGGGTGAGTTAACTTTAATGGGGTAAGTGACCTCCCGACCTCTCCATGGAAAGGGAGAAGGGCCATGTGGTTCTTTTCCACTGCTAAGCAAGGGAGGTGGTAGAACCTTCTCCTCTGTGGGTGCTATGGCTTTTGTGAAGGAGAAAAATCTTAATGACTCAGCAAGAGCCAACCAGCCTAAGGAACCTTGAGAGGCCATTTGCAGAAGGACTGGCCTGAGTGGCTTAAGAGGCTTCAGACAAGAGACTGGTCCTGGGGACTTCCTGTGCTGGGGCAGAACTGCTCCAGGGAGACAGGGGGCTTGGCCTGTCCTCAGACCTTCACTCTGCATCTCCAGAAACACCATGGATATTGGGTGTGTGCAGGCATCCACAGGTAAGAAATCTGCTCTCCACTTACAGGTTCCACCCAGAGGACAGGTACTCCACAGGGCCCAGGCCGGCAACCTTCAGGAACAGCTCCACCCCATAGACTGTGGACAGGAGGAAGCAGTCAGTGGCAGCCCCTCCACATCCTCTCCCACACCTGGCTGGGCTCCTCTGCAGCCTCCAGCCTCCCCGCAGGCCATGTGCCCTCCAGACAGAGCCCAGGTCATTCCCACGCCCACTGTGAGAGCTTGTGCTCTGGGAGAGGGCCCAGCCCAGATGGTGGTCAACTGGGACAACTGGCTTAGAGGGGAAACACTTCCTCCCCCTCTTCAGGAATGGCCCGGCCATCCATCTGTTCATCCAGCAGATCTTTCCTGAGCATTTCTTGAGTGCCAGGTATTATGTGGGTACTGGGCATGCACCAGTGAACAGGGAAGGGCAGTGCCTGCTGGCATGGAGCTTGGAGTCTAGACAGTAGGAAAGACAAGTAAACAGGGATGATGACACGGTGTGTTCACAGACAGACTTAATAGGATGATGAGGAAAGTCAGGCAGAGAGGTGGGGCATGGGAAGAGTGTCCTGGGCAGCAGACATCGTCCAGGAAGGCTGGAGTGTGTGGTGAAGGCAGAGGTACTGACTAGAGATGAGACTGAAGGGGCCATGTCCAGCCGGGCAGTGTGAGTCACATCTCGGGTCTGGACTTGACAGAGGGCAGTGGAAAAACACGAAAGAGTTTTAACAGGGGCAGCACAGAACCAGACTCAATTTCTGCTCCATCTGTTTAAGGCTCCCTGTTTTCGAGAAGAGCCATGAGATTCTAAACCAAACGAAAGTTCTTCTAGCCAGGGTTTGTTTGTTTGTTTGTTTGTTTATGTATGTATGTATGTATGTATGTATGTAAGTATTTAAGTTTTTGGTGCCTGGCCAGTATAGGGGATCCAAACTCTTGACATTGGTGTTACAAGATGGCACTCTAACCAACTGAGCTAACTTGCCAGCCCCTAGCCAGGGTTTAAAACGAGCAGTTCAGCAAAGCCATGTCAGAAACTTACTGGTGAGAAAGACGAGGTAGCTCCATGGCACGTGCTTGGAGAAGAAGTTCCCACCTGTAAGACAGAGAAACAGCAGCTCAAGAGGTGAGCCAGGTGTGCTGGCCAGGACACAGCCAGTCCCCCTGCTGGGCTCACCTTTCAGCATGTATGTCTCCACAAGGATCCAGACCCCGTTGACTGCCACCACCAAGTCTGAAATAGACAGGCCCATAAAAGACAGAGAAAGGACTGATGGAAATGTACAGGTAGCAGCTGCAGTCCCTGATTAACCTTCGGGAAGCTCTGGGGGATGGGGAGCACAGGGTGCCACACGCTCATTTTATGGGGAATTTCTGCTCAGTGCTCTTGCCATAGGAGCTAAATTAACCAGCTAAACTCACCTAGAAACAGCTACGAATATCTAAAAATACCCTCTATGTCACTGTAGGGATACCAGTGAAGAGGTACGGATTACTCTGATTTGGCGTAAAAGATGGACAGTATACAAAGGGTTCAAGTATATTTGTTTTCCTCTAGAGCTATCTAATTTTAAAATAACTGCATGAACTATTTAGCAAAACTGCATATGCATTTAGCCTTCCACCTAGCAATCCCACTTCTAGGGATCCATCCCAATGATGCACTAGTGAAAATACATGGAGATATGCGTGCATCTACTTAATGGTTTTTAAAAAATGGAAGGATAAACCATAATAAAAATTGCCCATTGGGGAAGGGACAAGGATGTAAAATAAACTTCCTTGAATACACTTTGTTTTGTAAATCTGACTTGGAACCATATAAACATTTTACATAATTATAAAACAAACTTACATGTAAGAAGCAATCCCTAACAATCAAAATAACATGAAATAAAGAAACTCAAACGTAAATCCAGTTGGTGAAACACCCACAGGGAGAGGAACTATTCCAGGTGACCTTAAAACACAGTAATCTGGGTTTTTCTGAAGTTTTTTGGCAGCTGGTCAGTAAAAAGCACAATAATCTGAATGCATACCCTGGAGTAATGTTTCTAGTACAGGTTGCACATCCCTAATTCAAAAATCTAAAATCTAAAATGCTCCAAAATCTGAAACTTTCTGAGCACCAACATGATGCTCAAAGGAAACACTCATTGGAACATTTAGGATTTCAGATTTTTGGATTAGGGATGCTAGCTGGTATGTAGTATTCTGCAAATATTCCAAAATCCAAAAAAATCAAAATCCAAATTGTTTCTTTTTTTTTTTTTTTTTTTAAAAGATGACCGGTAAGGGGATCTCAACCCTTGACTTGGTGTTGTCAGCACCACGCTCAGGCAGTGAGCGAACCGACCATCCCTACACGGGATCTGAACCTGTGGCCTTGGTGTTATCAGCACCGCACTCTACCGAGTGAGCCACAGGCCGGCCCAAAATCCAAATTGTTTCTGATCCCAAGTATCTTGTATAAGGGATATTCAACCTGTAATTATATTGTTGGGATTGTGTTGCGATTGTTATTGTGAGGCTGTGAGATAAAGCAAGTAAGTAACCGTGTCAGTGTTGTTGGGAACCTGGATTTTAAGATTGGGAATCTAGTTATGTAAGATTGATGAAGTTGGTAAAAATCTTGTAGTCCTGAATTTGAAATATCAGGATAAACTCACAAAATAGTTTATCATTAAAAAAAAACAAAATCCTGGGCCGGCCCGTGGCTCACTTGGTAGAGTTTGGTGCTGATAACACCAAGGCCGCGGGTTCGGATCCTGTATAGGGATGGCCGGTTTGCTCACTGGCTGAGCGTGGTGCTGACAACACCAAGCCAAGGGTTGAGATCCCCTTACCGGTCATCTTTTAAAAAAAAAAAAAAAATCCTATCCCTATCCATGGAAACAACTAAATACAATACCAATCCCAAGTAATGAAAACCCCTTGCACTTCAGATTGTGGTCTCCAAACACCAATTCCCACTAAAAGGAACCAGAGCTCCTTGGAAAGAATGAATCTGATCAAGCTTCTAAATTACCACTGTGCAAGAGAATTTTCTGTGATGATGGAAATTTTCTTATCTGTACCGTCCACTGATGTCATTAGCCATCTGTAGCTACTAAGCACTTGAAGTATGACCAGATAACTGCATTTTTTATCTTACTTAGCTTAAATGTAAATAGCCACAATGTGGCTAGTGGCTACTGCATTGGATAACACACCTCTAGATATAACTACCAAATTACAGGAAATAGCACAGAAGAACATGCAAAAGTAAGACTAAAGGACAAATAAATCTGTTTCTTCAACTAAATATTGCAAGAGGAAGAAATGGGACGGAAGAGGAGCCTATAGATTAAAACAAACTTAAGAGATATATGAACCAATTGCATTCCGTGGTTCTGGAATTTGCTTCTAAAAAATCCAGGACTAGGGCCGGCCCGGTGGCGCACTGCTACAGTGCACCGCCTGGGAGCACAGCTGCGCTCCCGCCGAGGGTTCGGATCCCACATACAGACCGGCCGCTCACTGGCTGAGCGAGGTGTGGGAGCAACACCGAGGGTTGCGATCCCGTTGCCGGTCCCTGGTCCGGTACGGGCGTGACACTGAGGGTTGCGATCCGTTGCCGGTCACGAAAAAAGACAAAAAGGAAAAAATAAATAAATAAATAAATAAAAATAAAAAATCCAGGACTAGAGAGGGCATCACAAGCTGGAGTGTGGGTACAGACGAACAAGAAAGACTGGCATGAGATGGTAACTGTTGAAGCTGGCTGATGGGCACATGGATGCTCATTATCATCTTCTCACCACTTTTATACATGCTAGGAATTTTCTACAATAAAACGTCAAAATCATGACTGCAGGACTAATCTCTTGCCTCTCCACCTTCTAGAACAGCAAAGGACTCAGGAGGAAAGGGGCCTGGAGCTCTGATATTTCACACTTACACATGAAATACTGGAAAGCCTTGGACTTCACAAGCATATTAATTCCTATTTGAAGAGAAGAAATGTTAAAATAGAAAATTTCATACACAGTCCCCTATGACATACGTCATGCATGTAGGCAACCTGGGTATTTATGCCTGGGGTGAAAAAAGGAAGGCCTACTCTAAGAGTGACACCCACGCTTCTGCTCAGTCCCCAGACAAGACTGCACTGACAACAGCTGCTCTGCAGACAGCCTAGGCAACCCAAAGCCAAGACAGCACAGGACGGAGCTTTGCTGGCCACTGCTGAAACGTAAACTGCTGCTTGCCTCGGCCTGGGACTGTTTATTCACCCACTTGAGTGACTATCATCCCATTGGAATGAAAAACCCTTTAAAAATGATGGAGTAACAGCTGTGCCCAAGGGCCTAGCTGAGGGAGAAATCACAAAATAGAATATACCATCTTTTACTCTTGTTTATAATGGCCCAGACTCAGGCTTTTTGCACAAGAAATTCCCTCACAATACTCTTTGTGTGGAACTTCTAAACAGCCATTAAACTAAGGGGCAAATGTTACGTAAACAATATGAGTACCCAATTCAAAAATTTCAAATTTTATAATATGCTAGCATTGTGCAAGGGGACATAACAAGTTATATATCCTGCCATAGGAGGGTAAAAATATATTAGATGAAAAGGCAGGTTACAGAACAGAGTAAATAATGTAATCCTACTGTTGTTTTAAAAATGCACAGAAAAATAACTAACAGAAGGAACCTTATCAGAGAATTAACAGCAGTTATCTCTGGGTGGTAAATTGTTTTTTTTTTTTGTTTTTTTTTTTTTGGTGGCTGGCCGGTACAGGGATCTGAACCACATTTTCATTTTCTCCTAATTATCTGACTTTCTAAATTTTCTTCCAAAAGTATCTATAGCTTTTGTATAAAAAAAATGAAAACCAACAAATGTCTTAGTTTGGTTTTTAATTCACCAGTGTCCTTCCCAGTCCAGTTCCTAACACTCTTTGTGCCTTTTCTCTCTCACACACACACACCCTGAACATGCTCCTCGAATGCCTATCTGTGGTCTCTGAAAAGCTCCATCTGTACCTTTGAAGATGAGGAACGCAGTCCTGGGAAGCTCATCAAACCAGTGCTCTCTGTTTTTCTTTGCCTGGCAAGAACACAGGCCACGGGAGAGAGAATGTCAGTGCCACTGACCAGAATCTTGCCCTGGGGCCAGGATGCTGGCTTTCCATCCCTGCTCACCCCACTAAATTGGTGAACAAACAGTGTTAACATTCAGGGATGTAAGTGAAAACACAGACAGCCAGTGTTTACTGGGCATTTACAACGTGCCATGCACACGCAGTATTTTCATATAATCCCCAAAATAACTCTGTAGGCAGGGATTATTATTATCCCATTTCACAGGTGAGACAAGCCTTGGACAAGTTCGATAACTTGACTGAGGTCACAGAGTGATTAGTCACTGTGATTAGACACCACATGGCAAACATAAGGGCAAATGCAGGAGCCATCTGGTATCCATGAAGTGCACGGTGCCAAGCTGAGAGCTGTTCTAGCAGGCAGAGAGCTAGGCCTCAGGGGGCCTCGATCCTCACCCCACTTGGGAGTCCGTCTGCCCACTCCCTCCCTGGTCTCATAGGGGCACTCACCTTCCACTTCAAGGCGGCAACTTCATAGATATCATAAAAGTCGTTTAGGCTGGCAGAAGCAAAATGAAAAGGGAAAAAAAAAATCAAAACAAGTTCCCACTGAGCTTCCTTTCTCTCACTCACCTGCCTGTGGTTACCTTTAAGGGGTGAGAGTGGCAGGAAAGGAGGAGATTCTTGGAGTCCCAGCACATCCGTGCTCAGGGTACCCTTACTGCAGTTGCTTTGATCTCCTCTGTCCTTGAGTTACTACAGGCACTTAAGCCACTTAGTCTATATTTACTGCTGACAGTTTCAATCCCCTTAGAGAGGCAGCCCCTTGAGTACTATAACTCCTAGATGGACAGAAACTTAGCCTCTTCAAGCAGAGGACTTAATGGAGCTGGGACTGTGAGTTGGGTCTGAACAGAGCTCGCTCACCCTCACCTCTACAGCAGGTCTGCTTCCTTTTGAATCGACAGTTTTGGTCATCAACAGTCTAGAAGATCAGTGCTGCCTGTGAAGATCCCAGGGTCGGTTCTTTGAGGCTGTGCCAGATGTGTTGGGGGCACATGTGTATATTCATCCCTCTCTGTCCACCTGCCTCACCCTACCCCACTCAGGGTTCAAGAGCAAGCAGCCTGGATGGTTCGTTCCATGAGCCAGGTTCATGTTCCTTTTTTATGAAGTCAGCATGAATTGGATTGGTGCTGGACTTTGGTTGCTTGCAAAAGGAATCCTGACTAATAGTGTACACGTCGAAGAATCTCAGTGAAGAAAACTAAAGTCTCTAACAAGCTGCTTTGCCTCACATGCCTCAGCTCCCTCAGTGAATGCCTTGTCTGGTCATGCTGTTCTTACCTGGCTGCTTTCACCTAGCATTGGCTCTTACCTGAGCAGAGGTTTGCTGCTCTGATTCAGGGCCTTGAAAGTAAGATAGCGCTCCCTGGCACTCATCCGGGGCTTATAGAAGCGCATCAGGCCTTCAAACTGCCTGTAGGAAATGCCAGCTGGCCTCTGGGGGGAAAGAGAACAATGTGGAAATACAGAACCACATTGTCCCCTTCCCTTGGGGCAGCCACTCCAGGTGCCCAGCACAAGGGATCCCAGGGCTCCTACTCTTGTTCTCCAAGAGCAGGCCTCCTGGTTTTTAAAGTTGCTGACCATGCCATGCTTAGGGGCTGCTCTGGGCAAGGGAGGGAGAACAAAGACCAACCCTCTCCCTAGCCCTGGCCCCCACTCCTACTCCTCCCTACCCGCTGGCTGATGAGCAGGCGGTAGGCATGCTGGATGGCGGTTCGCTTATGCAGCAGCAAAGACTTGAACTTGCGTTTCTCGATGTCATTGAAGGTGTCGAACACCACGGCCAAAAGCTGTGAGGGAAAAGCATAGAGCCCTGGCCCCTCTGCATGGCAGGGCTCCAGCAATAAGGGGCTCATCTTCTGCCTCTCTAGGCAGGGCTTTCATCCAGCTACCCCAGAGGGGGCCTTGAGGAGACCCTCTCACCTGCACCTTGTGGTGTAGGAAGTTTGTCTCCAAGTCTCAAGAGAGGAAGGCCATGCTTGCCACTTGTATTTCTCTATTCAGATGCATGGAAACATTGTTTTCAATTTTTCCCCAGGATCATCTGTTCTCCATGACAGCTTGTCCCTGGCTGAGCAGGGTACAAGCCAGGGTAGGAGAAAGTAGCAAGAGGAACACAACTGGGTTCTAAGCCCAATTCAGCTCAGTCCAATGGCCAAGGAGGCCGTGTGCCCATCCTGTGCCGGCTGCCTTTCCAGCCTCAAAGTAGGAAGGAGCATAGTTGTGCCCAATGCTTCCTCCTCTTTGTGGGTCACAGCTTCATATGTGGCCCCAGATATAACAGGAATGAGGAGGCCTGCACTCAAGGACATAACATTCTAGAATTGCCTAATACCAAAGTTAGCTTATTAATGACACAGTCTGAATTATCAGAGGGGGGTGGGAGGGCAGGGGCAGGATTTGGAAGAATCCTTTTTAGAAACATGTTCTTTGTTTTTCAAAGTACTTTGAGGGAAACTCTCTTGTCCTTTCTACCCCTTCATATTGGTCCTGCATTTTTTCCCTGTAGATCAAAGGTCAGCAAATTTTTTCTGTAAAGGGCCAAAGAGCAAATATTTTAGGCTCTGAAGGCCAGATGATGTCTATTGCAACTATTCAACCCTGCAGGCATATCAACAGTATCATGAAATCAGATACAGACAATATGTAAACAGATGGGCATTGCTGTGTTCCAATAAAACTTTATTAATAAAAACAGAGTGGGAATGGATGTAGCCAGTAGCTCTAGTTTGCTGACTCCTGCCGTAGATTTTCTAAATATATTACAAATTAAAGCAAATACAGAAAGGTATCCAACAGATTTCTTTTTTAGTTTTGAAGAACTAAAAAAAGAAAATATCTTCCTTTTTAAGTCTTCAATTTCTTAGATTTTACAAGTCTACCCCTGAGAAAGTGTTTTCCATTTTTATACTGGGTCTGACTGTGTTGATCGTTGTAGGAATGCTCTTCAGAAGTATAAAAATAAACACAACACTTGATCAAAGTCTCTCGCTGACAACTCTGCACTGATGGGTGGTCTCAGCATGGCCTAACAGTCTAGTGTCAGATGCAATCTGCTGATGTCAGGGAATATTTTCGGTGACCAGCCAAGCCTCTGCAAACACATCCTAAGTTTTGAGTACACAGGGGCTTTACATTCTCCTTACTGGAAAGTGTTCTATGTTAGATTTTCTGATGGTTCATAATAAATAGGTAGAAATACATGAGACGGTCCTGGCATGTGGGTACAACAGGACAGAGTGTTAAGGGGCCAGCACAGCCCCACCACTCCAAGCTGTGCAGTTGTGGGCAAGTCACTCTATCAGTCTGACCCTCAGTTTCTTCCTCTATAAATTGAAAATCATAATCATAACTGAATCTCCAGGGTTGATGTGTTAAATCATTTCATATATAAAGCACTTTGCATGGTGCCTGTCTAAGGTTTAATAAATGCCAGCATTTACAGTTACCATATGTTTGCTGTAAGAATGAAAATGTCCCAGGGTAGCCTTGGCTTAAATTTAGCACTACCAGCAGCAGCAGCACTAACCCAGGAAGGCTACTCCCACTGCGAACCAGCTGAATTCCTCAAATGTGGATGGTATATTCCCCAAAACACCATACTTGACTATGAGTCTGAGCCTTTCTGCCCCAGAGTTGTGCCCTGGGAGGCTGATGGCAGTATCGACTTCTCTAGTCCCATGGTGCCCAGCACTGCATGGGCTGGAGCAGGCTGCTGCAGAAGAGCCTGAAGCATGTCCACTCACCAGGTTCATGATGAAGTACAGCTCGATGGAGAGGTACACAATGAAGAAGACGCAGGACCAGGGGTTCCGGGAGTAGGAGGGCATCATCACATCTGGGAAACTGCATTTGTAGAGGTTACCCGCCACGCCCTGTGGCCATCTGCCCCAAGCTTCTTGAAGAACACGGCTTACAAAGGACAGCTCCTTCTTCTGCCTTCCTAGCCTCCATCCCCCCTCCCCTACTCTCGGTCTCTGGTCTTCAAGCTTGCCACACCAATCCCATCTCTCAATAGCACCCCAAGCACCTCTCTGTGCTGCGATGTGGAATATACTTTGCTGTAAAGAGGGGAAGACGCTGGTGCACCAGCAGAGGGTGAAAGGCAAAGCAGAGTCCACACTTACTTGGCTGTGGTCAGAAGCACAAACAGACTGATGATGCTGTTCTCCAGGGTACTGAAGTACTAGAAGGGAAAAGCAGTCAGAGGACCACACTGAGGCCAGACCGAAGGCACAGTTGCCAGGAACAGGCTGTGACGGGTCATCACCAGGTCACCACCCTCCCCTTCCTCCTCCCAAGGAATCCCTGAGGGAGGGCAGAGGAATGCGCATTCCAGAGACCTTCACCTCCCTGAACTAGATGCTTCTAGCAGAAGCAGACTACTGACTTTGGCGGACTTTTCCCAGGGAGTCATGTTTGGGTGATTAGCTTGGCTCTCCTGTGCTGTTCTTTTGCCAAAACCTTCCAGGATTCCAAACCTGATCTTGAAACATCCCTCCAAAGACAGGAAAGGGGATTCCCTCAGCACTTAAGGAAGGAAACAACTCAAGTCTGAGTGATGGAGAACTTTCAGTGCCATAAACTATGATGCAAAACCAGGCAGGGCCCTTACTAATATGGCTTTAGAGGCATTCGAGCCATCTTGTCTGGGGGAAAAGGCCTCCCATAAAGGAAGAGACAGACAAACATGTCCACTACTTACGGGGTCTGAAGGATTAGGGGAGAACAAGTAGAAACCTGGAGGGTGGTGGAAAAACAGACAAAAAAGGGTTAGAGCAGAGGACCTAAACCCAGGTGCCAAAAGGACTGGACAAATAAATGTAAATGAGTACAGTGGGCCAAGGAAGAGCAACAGGGAGTGGTGGGGACTGTGGCACCTTGGACAACATGTTCTTTCTTTTTTTTTTTTTTTTTTCCCTTTTTGTCTTTTTTACTGACCGGTAACGGAATCGCAACCCTCGGTGTCGCGCCCGTACCGGGGACCAGCAACGGGATCGCAACCCTCGGTGTTGCGCCCGCACCGTGCTCAGCCAGTGAGCGGGAACTGGTCTCCACATGGGATCCGAACCCTCGGCGGGAGCGCCGCCACACTCCCAAGTGGCGCACTCTCCAGTGCGCCACTGGGCCGGGGGTCCTGGGGTGCAGGAACTCACCGAGGATGGCGAAAATGATCATGAAGAATAGCAGCAGCAGGAGGATGTCCATGAAGGGTGGCAGGGACTGGAAGATTTGTCGCAGGTTACTGGGGAGAAAGGTGGGCCAGGTGGAGGGAGGCGCCAGCCTGGGCTGTCTGGGACTCCTCAGTGGGGGATGCGCTTGTTGAGATGGGGGTCTGGTGCTCCTGACCTGGAATACTACATCCCATTGCACCCTGGCAAGACATCATACTTAGTTTTTCCTAAAGTGGCTTGAGACCCCCACTCAGTGTATTGTGGGAAAGACTGAGCAGGTGCAGCACACACAGCCACCCCCACCTCGTGACAGAGCCCAAGCAGGTGAGTGCCCTGAATGAAGAGAGGAACGAAGCAGCAGAAGGCCACTGCACGGCCTTGAAAGCAAAGGTTAGACTCCACGAGCAGCATGTGAGATGCATGAGACATTTCAGGGCCACCTGGTCCTGGGACACTTGTTTCCAGCTCTGAGGATGGGTACAGAGAGGTAAATTGCTAGCCCATTCTCATCAACAGCACACCAGCCAAGAAACTTTCCAGATGGAATCTCCAAAAATAAATGTAACTCTAGGCTTGGTCTGGTTTGAATTCAGCCTTGGAGGAGGTTTCACAGAGCCTGTGCAGGTCACGTGGACTCTGCTGAGCTGCCTGCCTGCTTTAGGCTACTGCTGCTGCTAGTGTATTTGGACAGATAACGTGCTCAGAGAGAAGCCAGCTTTAGAAGGCTGCAGGTGAGATGGGAAAGAGCCCTGGATTCAGAGTCAGAAGACCTGAACTTCAGCAGGAATAGCACCTCTCCCCTCTGTATGGGCGAAATGGCAGAGGGAAAACGAGCATGCTTATATTCTACCAATGTGTGGGATCGACCTTCTCACTAACTGACACACAGGGTCCTGCTCCACCAGCCCAGAAGTTCAGGCCATGGCATGATAGCGACCGTCTGACCAGCTCCTCCCCCAGGCCTTACCGCCGGACACCACCGCAGTACCGACAGTCCACCAGGAAAATGCAGCGCAGCGCCCGAGTCACCCGCACGTGGGATGTCTGCCGTACCAACACCACGATGGCCTCAACAAACTGCACCACCAGCACACAGGTCTGAGGGCGGCAGGCACAGAGCACTGTCAGCTTCCCCGGCCCAGCCCCCTCCTGAACACCTGGAACTGAGGGCTGGGCTGGAGAGGTCCCTTCCTCTCCCGCCACCTCTCTCTGACACCTCCCTCCAACATCAGGTGGTCCTGGAGGAGGAGGAGAGCGGCCCAGCTACTGGCACAGATGTGTGGCGCCAGAAGAATGAACCCAAGGGGGATGCTCCCAGCAACTCGTCAACAGCGTCCACTGCAGCAGAGCCACCACTCTGCCTGCCCTCAGCCAGCAGCCCTCCCTACGGCTCTCCCCAGTCCACCATGAAGCCGCCAGGGTCTGCAGTTTGTTTTCACCTTCACTGGCTTGGGTACATTCTCCCAGACAAGTGTGGCCACTCTGCCTGCCCTCAGCCAGCAGCCCTCCCTACGGCTCTCCCCAGTCCACCATGAAGCTGCCAGGGTCTGCAGTTTGTTTTCACCTTCACTGGCTTGGGTACATTCTCCCAGACAAGTGTGCATGGTCTTCTCATGCAAAGTTCCACCCTGACCCAATCTTACTCAGGCCACTCTCTGTTGCACAGAGAAGGTGGACAACACTAGCGACCAGTTAGCATGGGCATGGAGGCTGGACAGAACCGGGTTTGAAACCCATCTTTCTGGGTTTAGATACCATTCTCTTCCACCTGGCTGAATGTAAAATGGGGAGACCAACACACCTCCCTCAGAGGTGACCATGCCAGTACCTGACATGTACTAAATGATGAATCACATTAGCTATTGCTGGCATCACCAGGACATCTGAGGCAACTGGCAAGGCTGGAAGCATGGTGAGGACAAGTACTGTAAGTCACACTCCTGAGTGCAAACTGGGCCCATGGGGGATTTTGAATTAAACCAAAGATAGAGGTTTGAAGGTGACATGGGAGAAAATGCTGTAAGGAGATAGACAATGGATGGACACATCACCTTGACCATGGTCCGTTTGTGCCGGATGAAGGTGTGGAGGCCCAGCCACCGTAACTTCATGCAGAGTTCAAACACCACCACCATCAGGGCAAACAGCTCCAGGGTGGCATGGACCTGCAACCAGAGGGTGTGAACACATGTCATTGACAACTGGTCCCCAGCCACCTCCCTCTTTGCCCCACCCCCCTCCAAGACCTGGAAAACTGCCCCAGGACCCCCTTCCACACAAACACACCACAGTCAAAAAACTTGGCCCTGGCCCTGGATTTGGTAATGGAGCTTTTCCCAGAATAACTAAGCATAAACTTAATATTCATGAAACAGACATGCTGACCCATACAATGAAAAATTAATGAGGCTGAAGTTTAAAAAAAAATAAAAAAGATAAAATTTTTTATTTAGCCTTGTTCCAGGAGGAATTTTATATAATTTACCAAAGACCCATAAAAGACACTGAGGAAGCATGAATTAGGGGCTTAAAAAACAAAAGTGAAGAGGAAAAAACACCAGAATTTAATTGAAAATCCAGGAGTCCAAGAGCCGGGCACAGTGGCACGTGCCTGCAGTCCTGGCTACTTGGGAGACTGAGGCTGAAGGACGGCTTGAGCCCAGGAGTTCTGGGCTGTAGTGCACTATGCCGATCAGGTGTCTACACTAAATTGGGCATCAATATGAGGACCTCCTGGGAACAGGGGACTACCAGGTTGCCTAAGGAGGGGTGAACTGGCCCAGGTCAGAAAGAGAGCTGGTCAAGAGTCCAAGAAACAAGGGCTGTCAAGCACACAGCAGTGCCTAAATTCCCATTCTGCATTTTGGACAAAAGGACAAGAACACATGGAAGACCTTCAAATGAGCCTCCTTAGGCTGCTGCAGCTTCTCCAGGGACAGGGTCATCTCTGCTGTCTCATTTGGCCATTGATAAACAGGGTGTGACCAACAGGGTGGCCAGATATGGACCATGAATGAACATCAAATCTAGGTGGCCCTTGCTCTCCAGGTACTCACTTCCTAACAGGGAAATAAAGTGCTCCTGGGAAACAGAAGGGGGAATCTCCTCCAGCTGTGGATGGGGAAGGCCTCCCGGGCACATGGACATTCCAACAGACTTGGCAGAGGAGCACGAATTGACAGGGTGAAGGGATGGGGAAGAAGGATCCAGGAGAGGGGCAGCATGGGGGGAGGTGTAGAAAGCAAGGAAAGAAGACCAGCTTGGAATGGCAGCGAGCTTTAGGCATGAAGAGAGACAGACAGGAAGGAAGCTGAAGAAGGAAAGCAGGGCTGAGGTGTGGAGGGCCTCAGAGCCCAGGCTAGATGGGAGCTTCCCTGACTCGAAAGCAAAGCCTTCCCTCCCTGCTTCCGCACCTCAGAAGAGGATAAAGCGCCTCCACAGGCTGCTCTGGCCCTGTACTGAGTGAGGGCTTGGCCTCAGAGTAAGAACATCTGTGGGGCTGGGGCCGCCCACAATACATTCCCCCACCTCCCACTGGTGACCACACCAAAAAAAAAGAGGCATTCTTCGTGGTTGGAGATAGTGCGGTGGGGCTGTCCACTGTGCCCTGCCCACCTGTAGCACGGTGTGGGCACCAGTCCTTGGTGAGGACAATGGGATGCTGCCCCTCCCTGGGATTTACTAGTGAGCAGAATCCCAGAGAGACTGGGTGAAGTACATTCACTCCAGTGGGGAAGCCCAGGCAAGACCACTTCAGCCTCTATGACCACCTAGTGCCTCTCTGTTTTAAGTCTGTTTGCGGTGTCTACCTTTCCAGAATGTTCTATCTCAGGTTCTGTTGCTTGCTCCCAGCCACCCGCGCACTCACATAGATGCCAAGCCGGAGTGCGGGGACAGCGGGGGCCTCGCACAGGGAGAGCAGCAGCAGGAGCAGGGCCGTTGACAGCTCCATCAGGTAGAAGAGGTGGTTGTGTGCAAAGAGGTAGGCCGCCAGCGCTTTGGCATCCTTGGGGTGGGTGAAGAACTTGTCGTTATTCTCGCCTTCCTGAAAAGACAGGAGCAAGAGATGAGGGCACAAGAGCCTTGAGATGATCAGCATGAGATGAGCCACGGGCAGGGAGGGAAGGGAAGCCCGGCGCAGAAAAGGGAGATTCAGGCCAGAGATGGGAGGTGATGGAAATCAAAACTATTACCTTCACGAAACCACACATGGGCGGTCTCACCCCTGCCTACAGAGGGGTTAAAGAGACTAGCTACTTAAAAACCACTTGGAGGAACCAAAGAATAAAAAAGTCATGAGATGAGGTAAAGAGAAGCAGGCAAGCCCAATCCCCTAGGAGGCCAAATGCCCACTCCAGAAGTGTCCAGCAGAAGGTAAAGGGCTTGGGGCCTGGCTACAGCAACCCAGGCTGAGTCCTGGCTCCCCCACTCCCTCCCTGTGAAACATTGAGAAAGTTTCTTTGCCTCTCTGAGGCTCACCTTCTTCAATGAGAAAGGAGCTGACACTAGTGCTTCCGCACACGGCTACTGTGAGGAGAAAGTGGGAGAGCATTTGTGAGGCACTCAGGATGGTCTCTTACACACAGTAAGCTCACCAGATACTGGCTATTACTGTTATTTTAAGTTGTATTAACATTAAGAGAAAAAAAGAAGCCAATAACCATGCCTAGCCAGACCCTTTAAAATCCATCAAGAGCTGCCCAGGGGGCATCTCTGCTCTAACTTAACTCAGGCTTCCTTGCATCCTCCTACTTTTTCTTTGTTAACTGACAAGTAATTAATTACATATAATTATGGAGTATAATGTGATATTTTGATATATGCACACATTACAGAACAATTGAATCAGGCTAATTAACATATCCATCCATCACCTCACATATTTACCATTTTTTGTGTGTGGCGGGAACATTTGTTTACATTTTTTTTTTCCCCTTGGCAGCTGGCTGATAAGAGGATCCGAACCCTTGACCTGGGGTTACAAAGCTGCACTCTACCCAACTAAGCTAACTGGCCAGCCTTGTGGTGGGAACATTTAAACTCTATTCTCTTAGCAATTCTGAAATATACTTTACATTATTATTAACTATGATCACCATGCTGTGCAATAGATCTTAAAATCTTATTCCTCCTGTCTAACTGAAACTTCGTACCCTCTGACCAACAGATCTCCTTTCCTTACTCTACCTTCAGCCTCTGGTAATCACTATTCTACTCTCTATTTCTATGAGTTCAACTTTTTTAGATTCTACATATAAGTGAGATCATGCGGTATGTCATTCTGTGTCTGGCTTATTTCACTTAGCATAATGCCCTCCAGGTTCATCCATGTTGTTACAAATGATAGGATTTCCTTCTTTCTAAAGGCTAAATAGTATTCGATTGTGTACATATATCACATTTTCTTTATCCACTCATCTGTTGATGGACATTTAGGATGATTCCATCTCTTGGCTATTGTGAACAATGCTGCAGTGAACATGGGAGTGCAGATATCTCTTTGAGGTACTGATTTCTTTTGGATATACACCCAGTAGAGGGATTGCTGGATCATATGGTAGTTCTATTTTTAGTTTTTTGAGGAACCTCCATACTGTTGTCCATAATGGTTATACTAATTTACATACCCACCAGCAGTGTACAAGAGTTCCATTTTCTCCACATCCTCTCTAACATTCATCCTTCATATTTTTGGTGATAGCCATTATAATAGCTGTAAGGTGGTATCTCATTCCCACATCCCACTTTTTAATTTATTTGTTATTTCTAATTTCCTGACCTGTGCAAAATGATGGGCCTTGCCCTCAATTCCTTCTATCTTAACAGTAATAAGACAATAGCCAACCTTGATCAAGTGTTACCAGGACCAAGCACTGTGCCCTGCCCTTTATCTGAGCCCTTTACTCCTGACACCTTTCCTTTTAGGCAGGTATTCTTATTATCCCCAATTGACAGAGAGAAGAGAAAACCTCAGCACAGAGAGCTTCAGCAGTGGCCTGAAGTTACAGAGCCAGAGTGTCTGGTTCCAGCACCCTCATTCTAAATGACTATCTTGGCTTCCTGCTAATGTTACAGAAAATAAATGACATAGCCCCAGGAATTATCTACTTGAGAATACAGAAGATGCCACCCTAAGACCACTGCTGACATCCTTCCTGTTAGGGTGAGCCTTCTGGAGGGGTATCTTCATCGCCTCCCTGGAGTCGGTGGGCACAGGAGTCAGTAAGGGGCCTCCCACCTCACCAGCTTCATCAGCGATCACCAGGCAGCCGACACAAAGCACTTCCTTGGCTGAGGTTTTGTGTGCCTCACGTCACTTCACTGCTTCCCAACTGGGGGAAGTTTTCCCCACCCACTCCCTCCAGATCTTTGGCAATGTCTGGAGATATTTTTGGTTGTCACTGTGAAGAGGAAAGTCACATAGCCAGAATGTAAACCTGGACTCCCCCACCCAGAGCCCTTCTAGAAGCATGCTAGCTGTCTTGGAATGGTGGATGGGACCACCCTCACCATCCTCACAAACCCGTTCCAGGGAAGGCCTTGTTTGTGGTTTGCAGGGTAACTCTGAATGAGTCACTTCCCCGAAGCTGGATACATGGCTACCTTGTTAGCAAAAAATAAAGACAAACCGCAGACCCAACAGGCAGGCCCAACAAAGGGAACAAACATCTCCGCAGTACAACAGCGAGCAAGCTGTGCACAGTCCTGTGGTCTGCACAGGGCTGTGGTTTCTACCACCACCTGTATGGCTGCGAGGGGTGGGGAGGGGGACACACACAGCAGCCTGGGAAGCTTCTGGTTTGAATTACTAAAAAAAAATGGAATTCTTGGGCAATTTCTTCCAATGAAGAGCCAGGAATGAAGGTCTGGTTAGGGGAAACCACTGACATGGCAGGCTTGGATTTTAACTCTAGGACTTGGAATTGCCACAGAGGGAATGTGGGGTTAAGGTCTCTACCAACAAAGACTGAGGGAAACATTACACATGTCACAGGATTCTGATCCAAACCCCAGAAGAGGACACTGGCCTTGTTTCTGGCTGCTGATCATGAATTAGATTAGGAAAAATAAGGAATGCCAGTTTTAGTGACTTCCAGGCCTTTGCTCTGCTCCCTGGGGTCAAAGTCCACACAGAAACAAGAGCTATCTCAACGGTACCAGGACCACTAAGCACATGGCTCCTGAGGGTGAGTTAACAGGTAAAGTGTGGGAGGAGAGGAAACCACAGGCACCAGGTAAGCCATGAGGGCCAATTACCCATGCGCACCAACAACCTGGTCCAGGGGCTGTAGTATAGCTCAGTCACAAGCACGAAAGGGAAGACCATCCTGATACCAGCTAAACCCATCCTCCAGAAACAGCCATAAGCTACTATTCATAGGGACCCAAGTTTTGCTTTTATTTTTATTTTTTTAAAATGATGTATTTTTAAGTGCTGCCCAGTTAGATCAGTTGGTTACAGTGAGGTGTTATAACACCAAGGTCAAGGGTTCAGACCCCTGTACCGGCCAGTGGCAAAAAAAAAGATGCATTTTTGATAAAATAATTTATGTAATACACAGAATTATAAAGCAGTCAAAATTCCATCAGCCAGAGATATTGCTTTTAATATTTAAAGAACTTTCCAGATGTGTATTGGTATCTGTGCAGCACACACATACATGTGCACACATATATACACTGCTATATGCACATAAATTTTATGTAAAAATGATCTTACTACACCTGCTATTCTGTAACTACTTTTTCCACAATACATGGCCCATTTGCAAGTGAACACATGTGGTCAGGTGCAGAAATGAGGCAACAACATATACAAAAAAGAACATTATCTGGAGGCTAGATGGATAGTTTAAAGCCAAGCTCTGCAACTTCCTAGCTGGGTGGCCTTGGACATCATTTAGCCCCTCTGAATCTCAGGTGCCACATCTGTAAAGTAGGAGATGATCATACCAGCCTCAGAGGATTGTTCCAAAGATTACCAGGTGCCCTCAAAGACCATGTTTTTATTACCAATGTTCTCATCTGCTTAGGGAAAGAAGGAATTATCAGGTTCCTGAGGTCCCCAGGCCATTCTCATTCTGTGTTCTGACCTATCCCATGCTCATATTCAACCTCAGAGAAGGAGAGGTGCACAAGGTGACCCTGCTAGATCATTGCCAGGTATGCCTGAGCTTGCTAAAATTTCCCTACATTTTTAGTGTCTTAACCTGAATCAAAACGCATTTGTAGTAGCACAGGTATAAGAAACTGCATAAGAACAGGAGAAACATGCAGACAACTGAACAACTATCAAATAAATATCTGAATTTAATTAAATCTTTTTTTTTTTTTTTAATGAAAACAAATATTTGCAGCGGACTGCTACTTCAAAGAAAAAAGGTGAGGAAAAATTACCATTCCAATGAATTTAAGAAAAACTCTATTTCCTCACCCAAACCCTTACTCAATGCACGTCAGAAACTAAAATCTTATAGTGACAAAAGTAACAAGATTATGGTGAAAATGCCACAGCCAGTAAGACTGGCATTTCAGAGGCAATACATCCTTGGGAGAGTATTCCACACTAGATATCAAGGACCCTAAAAAATGACTCCTTCCATCCAGTAAGTTCGTCTCTTAAAGTCTTCCCTTGTAAAATAATCCCAGATATTAGAGAGAGTGTGTGTGTTCTAGGTATAGACTGTCCTGGGACTGTAATTTATAATAAGGGAAAATATCTAAGATTATCAGGACAGTTAAGTAAATTAGGATAGTTTACCTAATGTAATTTAAAGTCATTTAAATTATGTTTACAAAAGGGTTGTAGTAACATGAGAAAAAAGCTTATGCCACATGTTACCAAAAAAAAAAAAAAAAAGGAAATGATACCACATGACTTTAAAATTATTCTCAAAATACATATTTTTTTTAACCTGGAAGGAAATCATGTTGATAATGACTACCTTGTGTGAATGTATTTTCATTTCCTCTTATTGTAATGAACATGTATTATTTTTACAGAAAAGTAGAAGTATTCTTTTTTACAAAAAGGAAAAAAAAAAAAGCATGAAATAGCAAACATGAAAGCAGCAACAAGTAAACAAGAAACAAACAAAGATCTCTGAGGTTCCCCACACTATGTTGACAAGTCCCTGCTATAGTATTAAGTATACTAAGAATTCCCTCCTGAGAAAGGGCAGGAGACAGGCAGGAAAGGTCAGTTGGACAGATTCAAGGAACCTCAGCAGCAGGCACAGCCACAAACGGGGTCAGAGGAGAAGCCTGCGCACAGTGCCCTTCCCCCACAGGCACAACCAGGTTTCCTCTCCCCATCTTACAGATAAGAAGCTCACACATGAGCAGGGGCTAAAACCTAAGCCAGAACTGAACGTCTAGGTATCTAATAGAGCCCTGGCTGCCCCCACCCCACCAACAGGTGCAGAAAATGGCTAGGTGCTGACTGGGAGACACTTACCTGGAGGTAGATTGCTGCCTCTTGATAATTCATCTCCCAGTTGTGTCCGGTGGGACTGGAGGGGGAACTCTCCCCCATGGAGCTCAAACTGGAGGCCCGGGAGTCATGGATGGCATAGCTGCCCCCATCTGCATTGGAAGAAGAGAGAGATTCACTTACAACCCAGGCTTAAGAGTATAAAGACACCACTCAGAAGAGAAGGCTGGCGGTCATTTCATATGCTCATATATACATCCCATTATCTACAAGTCAATGCTCAACCCTGTGTACTAATGCCAGCAAGAACTGGTATGGCTAGTTAAAAATCTGTTTCTTTCTCTTGTTAAGTGAAAAAAACAAGTACAAATGAGCACGTATGGTATGCTATCTTTTGTATAAAAAAGATAGGAAATGAAAACATACATATATTTACTTACCTTTATAAAAAGAAACACAGGAAGGAAAAATCAGAGCTCAATGAAATTGGTTGCCTACGAGGGGTGTGAGAAACAAGTGTAAGTGTCACTCAAAGGGAGTACGCTTTTTGTATACTGTTGGCTTTTGGAGCCATGTTAATATTCCACTAAGTCAAAAATTAAAAATAACTGGATTTGTGCCCTGGTAGAAGCTCATCTGTTGCTTTTCCCTGCTGACATCCTCCAGTAACCCTGCTCTGATCTGCCTTTGCAGAATGCCCCCTCCCTGCTCTCTGTCCTCATTGTTTGGCTCTGGCCAACTTCACCCTGGCTGCTGGCAGATGACCTAGACTTGGCAATAAGAATCCCTAGCCTCTCTTGGGCACAGGGATTGGGTCAGGCAAGGCTGCTGACCCAATCTCAGCCATTAAGGGCTGAACTTGGAACTGTCCCCAGACCAGTTAGGAAGGAGAGGCTCTTTCCCTGTTGTTGCTGGCAGCTGCCTCGCTACCACATGGGGAAAGCTGCCAGACAAGGAAGTCAAAGGAGAAAACAATAACAAAGAGATAATACCGGTTATACCCCTGGGGTCCTTACCTTCCAAAATCTGAGCTAATAAAGATCCTATTAGAGTCTGTTTGAGTTGGGTTTGTCACAACAATGAAAGAGTTTACTGATACACATGGTAAACAATGGCCCTAATATTTAACTTTTTATCAGGAAGAAGTGAATCTAGGATGAAAATCTGGTCCTCTATAATCTACACTCTAAATGATGCACCTGTAGGAAAATAAAGACTCAAATGTTTGGAGATTGATTTGCACTGCTGGCAGGAAGCAACCGTGTAAGGCTCACAACTGTGCAGTAAAGGGCAGGAAACTGGCAGGGTTCATAAGGCTGTTGGGTCACAATATGTCCTTCTGATCTTGAGCTGCTAGGCAAGGACAACTGGTTCTGGAAATCTGTTGGGGTTTTTTGTTTGTTTTTGCAGCTGGCCAGTACGGGGATCCAGACCCCTGACCTTCATGTTATAACACCATATACCCTTGCCAACCAAGCTAACTGCCCAGGCCTCCACAACTTATTTAGATGTATATTGTTTAGTTTCCAAATATTTGGAAATCTTTCTAGAGATCTTTCTGTTACTGATTTCTTTTTTTCTTCTTTTTTTAACTAATTATTTTTAGTTTCTTTTTTTCTGTTATTGATTTCTCATTTAATTGCATTGTGGTCAGAGAACATACTTATGAGACTTGACTCTTTTAAACTAATTTTTTCCTTTTAAATTTATTTATGGCCCCAAATATAATTTTGGTAAATGTTCCATGTGCACTTGAAAAGAATGCATAATCTGCTGTTGTCAATTAGGTCAAGCTGATTAATACTGTTATTCAAACTTCTATACCCTTACTGAGTTTGTGTCTACTTGCTTTATAAATCATTGAAAGAGTAGTATTGAAATCCCTTACTATAATTGTAGATTTGCCTATTTCTCCTTGTAATTCCAACCATTCTTGCTTCATGTACTATGAAGCTTTGTTATTAGGTGAATAAACATTTAAGATTATTATTCCTTCTTGATGAATTGACCCCTTTATCACTATGAAATAAACTTCTTTATCCTTGATAATATTCTTTGCCCTGAAATCTACTTTGTCTGTTATTAGTATATCCACTCCAGTTTTCTTTTGATTATTTCTTTTGAATACTGATTAGTGTATATTTTTTCATCCTTTTATTTTACTTTGCTGACTAGTACAAGATTCAAACCACAGACGATGAATTGACCCCTTTATCACTATGAAATAAACTTCTTTATCCTTGATAATATTCTTTGCCCTGAAATCTACTTTGTTATTAGTATATCCACTCCAGTTTTCTTTTGATTATTTCTTTTGAATACTGATTGGTGTATATTTTTTCATCCTTTTATTTTACTTTGCTGACTAGTACAAGATTCAAACCACAGACCTTGGTGTTATCACCACCATGTTCTAACCAACTGAGTCAACCAGCCAGGTCCATCCTTTTATTTTTAATCTCTTTGTGTATTTAGACTCAAACTGTATTTCTTACAGGCAGCATATAGTTTGGTCGCTTTTTCCCCCAGTCTGATAATCTCTATGTTTTAACTGAAGTAGTTAGATCATTAATATTTACTGTAATTATTAATATGGTTAGGTTTAAATCTATCACTTCACTATTTATATTTATACCATCTATTCTTTGTTCTCTTTTTACTCTTTTTCTGCCTTCTTTCAAATTAAATGAGGGTTTTTAAACATTCCATTTTATTGCCTTTGTTGGCATACTAGCTACAACTTTCTTTTGTTATTTTAGTGGTTGCTTTAGGATTTGTAGTATATAATTTAATTTATCACTTTCAAGTGATATTTATGCCACTTAATGCATAATATAACAATCTTATAACAATATACTTCCCTTTCTCTCCTCCCAGCCTCTGTGCTTCTAAAAATGCAGGGACTTTCAGTTCACAAACCTCCTCTGCATCAAGCTTCATCTTCATTGCTAGGATGTGTAACTAGGAGAATCTTCTGGAAGGGACTGTCCCAATGAAGCAAATAAGAATAGTAATCAGTTAACGCTACTTGCAGGCTCTGTGCTACGTGTTCCATGCTGATTAACTGATGCAATCCTCACAACAATCCCATAAAATTTGTACTGTTACAAATTCTGCTCTGCAAGGAGATTAAGCAAGATTGCAGAGCTATATGGGTTGTCCAAGATGATACAGCTACATGGGTTTGAGCCAGGATTTGACCCCAAGCAGCTTGGCTTCACAGCAGATACATTTAACCACTATGCTATACTACCACCCTCTGAGGAAAAGGAGTGTGGGATAAGAAATGACAGACAAGTATTTTAAACTAGGGGTAGCAAACATTTATTAAGGCTTACTGTGTGCCAAAACCTATTCTGTGGCAGATTCTATTTTCTAAAGATAGCCACGGCATTACCTTTCACCCTACATATTCTTCTAGAACCTTGCCACTTCCCTATAAAGAAGTAAAGCCTATGTCTCCTCTTGAAACCAGGTGAGCCTTTGTGACTGCTGTGACCAACAAAGAACAGAGGTAGTAACACTCATGACTTGTGAGGTTATAAAAATGCTTCCACCTTGCTCTCTTGGGGCACTTGCTCATGGAACCCAGCCACCACTTTTCGAGAATGCCCAAGCAGCTGGTGGAGAGGTCCATGGAGAAGAATTAAGGGCTCCAGTCCACAGCCCAGCCTAGCACCCAGCTGACATCCAACACCAACTTCTCAGCCACATGAATAAACCATCTTAAAAAAAGATACTTTTGCCTTAGTCAAGCTGTCCAAACTAATGCTGCACAGAGCAGAAAAAAGCCACCTCCACCAAGCCTTGCTCAAATTGCAGATTCATGAGCAAAATAAACAATTTTATCTTAAGGCATTATGTTTTGGGAGTGATTTGCTATACGGCAATAGATAACTGATACATAGCTAAATACCTTATATCTATTAAACCATTTAATTCTCACAACCACCCTATGAAATAGATAATTCTTACTTCAGATTTGAGGAAACTAAGCTACAGAAAGGCTAAGTAACTTCCTGGGGTAATGTAGCTAGTGAAAAGTAGGGCTGGGATACCAAATCAGGCTGCTTAGCTCCTAGTCAGTGGACTACAAGCCTCTCAAGAATCAGAAACTCAAACAGGGTGACAGTGTAATGCTAAAAGGACCAAAAATATAATAGTGGTTTCACACGAGAGTGGAGTTATAAGTGGGAGGTGGGACATCTGGATGTGATTTGGACTTGATAATTCTGACCCATATCTACCAACAGAGCAGCATTCCCAACTCTGATCTCAATGTCTGTTTCTGAAAGAACTAAGCCCTAGGCAGAGACAGAAGGTCAAACCACCTTCCTCAATCTGCTCACGTGGACTAGGGAAGCATGAGCCAAAATGTGACTCCTGAGCGGGAAGAGCCACAGGCAGGCAGCTGGATGGTGCTGCCTCCTCGTGTGCCCATGCCCCATCCTCCATGACCTTCACACACCATGGCAGGAGCCAGTGCCAGCAACACAGCAGAGTCTTAGGTAGAATAAATAACAGTGATGGAGTGGGGTAGGCGGTGGCCAGCTGGCACAGATGGTGGTAGACATTAGTGTCACTTTCCCACACCCATTACACAACTGTCTATGTGAGCTGCTGCCTTGGAGACCCCCGTTGAGCCTTCCTAGCCCTTTGTCTCATGGGTCTTGATGAACTGACCGGAGCTTCTTCCTCACACCCAGGAGCTCTCCTGACCCATTCCCGGTGGGGAGAGGGCACCTGGCCCTCTTCAACTACTCCTTTGCATCTCACAACTTACACTGCAGCACCACTGCGATCAGGTGGCCTAAAGTGTCCCACAGTCCAGGCTGCTCCTGGCTAACATGCCTCACTCACACTTCCAGCATTGGATTTTTCTTGGGAGCAGACCACCCTTGGTATCTTTCAGTGCCCTGGTTTGAGTGAGAGACAGTTCCTCTTCCCTGATACACAACCCCTTCAGAGCCACAAACAGTCCCAGTCAGCCTCTGACACCCACAGGACTACTGCAACAGGAAGGACCAAGCTTGTGGCTGCCTTGGAAGAACAGTCCTCAGAGCCAGAAATCTTTGATGCCATTTTTTTTTTTTCACTCCTCAACGCCTATAAGTCACAGGTCTGGGAGGGTGTCCTCACTCAACCCATCTCT